GGTAGGTAGGGAGGGGGGGGGGAGAAGGGAGTACAAGATGGCATTAGAATCTGTATTTTAAATTATATCAGGAAATTGTTATATTTGATTTATTTATTGGGTCTGAATTGAGAACAAATACTACGAAAGTCTGACTAGAAGCATGCCGATGTTAAGGGAGTGTCGGTAAAATCACCAAACTAATGGTTAAACAACCTGAAGGTGATCTGTAGGTCATCCACTTTAATTATTTGCAAAGTTTTAAGCACTTATCAAGCTTATGGCTGTGGTTGTATTAGAGCTGTGTTATATTCTGGTGTAGTTTTGGATTCAAAATACAGCTATTGAGCCATCATAGGATCATACCATCTATTATCACAAAATGCATGAATGAAAGGCGAAGCAACTTTGTGGAGATTTTAAAGTAGAACTGTAAAGGAAGTGCCGAAGTTCTCTGGCATCGGAATTAAGGCCACATCGTCAGAGTTGAATGAATGTTTCAGACACTTTCAAAAAAAAGCTTACATTCAATGTAGACCTTCGCATCATAGAATTTAAATTCTCAAAGAAATGGCCTTCGAAAAAAGGCGAGGAAAATTTTGAGCAAAATAAACCACCCAGGTGCCTTTCCGATGAGAAAATTTTCCAAGATCACAGACACAAAACGCTGAAAGCGGACTTCATACCGTCTAAGAGGACACTCACTCATTATAATACAATGAACAAAATAGTTAAAGAAGGCCTGCCAGCTGGTAACTTCCCGTAACCATGGAAAGAAAAAAGAAAGCTTGGGAAATCAGGTGAAATTCTACATGAAGAAAAGAAATGTCTGATCTAACTTTAGAGGGATAGAGCAGTTCACTTGATGACCCTGAAGCTTCAACTTCCTGTCCTTCAGTTCAGCTGTGCATACTCTCTCTCTCTCTCTCTCTAAGAACTTAGCCGTCATTCTTTTCCTGCGCCTTTGGACAATTCTTTGTGATCAACTCCTTTAAAATAGACCAATAAACACGTTCTAACATCCCATATTCCATATTTTTACACCCGGGATGCGCGACAGACTTATCTCCACGTGGTGCATCCTGGGCAGTTGATTTCTGACTACAAACTACCATGACCCCACTGTATGTCATATTCGACTACTTCCACAGTACTCCCCTCACCTTTTTTTCTACCTTTGTGTCTGTCTCTTTTTCATCTTTGAAACACTCTTCTGTTCCCTCCACTTCTCGACTTTTTCCCTTTGATGTTCCTTCCTCTCTGTGAAGTCAGAAGTCAACAAAAGGGCTAATGATGACTGTCGAAACGTCTACCATTTGATATAAATAAAATATGTTAGCTTAAATTTCACGGAGAAAACATTATGCACTCTCTATATCACTCTGTTTCAATTAAGGCTTATTTGATGCGGTCCACAAGTACATTTTCTTTAACGCTGTGCAAATAATTTTACCTAAAGCTAGCTTGATCTGTCAATGAAAATTTATGTTCTTATTCCCTCATATTGACATTTACGAAGATCTAAATTCGTGGCACTTTAGTTGGGTTGGTGGTTTTAGGAGGGGGGGGGGGGGGGGGGGGGGGGGGCGAGTGAGAATTGACCAGCTCATTTAACTCTCAAGCCCCATGCATACCCTACGTATTTCATTCCATTGTGTCTAGATGAAAAGGGAATTCCATATCAAATTTCACAGTGGACCCATTTTTCACAAATCGTAGCTTTCCATTCATGTAAACAGCAATCAAATAACAAATGCTCTGCTAAATCGGTAATTATTCAACCTATTTAAAGACAAGGGATATCATTTCCATGGAGGGAGGCCATATGAAGCGAAAACCTCTTTATATTTAGTCGCTGAAATTCAGTAATTTCGTGGGCAATGATGCATTTATGCCAAATGGTAGGCTTTATGATATTTATCAGTAGTCCTTTAGTTAACTTCGGGCTTCACAGAGGGGGGGGGGAGGAGGAACATCAAACCCACATAAAGTGGAGAGGGGGAACAGTAGAGAGTGATTCAGAGATATAAAAGAGGCAGACACGAAGGTAGACAAAATAGGTAATGTGAGGTGAGTACTGCGAAAGTAGTGGATTATGACAAACAGTAGGGCCATGATAGCTTGAATTCAACTGCCGATTTATAGACTTTTCTTGCGTATGAGCATATGTCGCCCAGGGTGCACTATGTGGAGGTAATTCTAACACGCACCCCTCATGGGCAATAATAATGCCTCAGATATTACTCCCCCACTAGCCATATATCCTCCCGTAGCATGTATCCAATATTGAATTACCAGTGAAGTTGGACTTAATGTAATGCATCTGCTTGCCAAGGTCATTCCTTCCAATTATTGTGGAGATCGAACACGGTCCTCGGATGAATATCACTGAGAGCGAATAGCTCACCGTTATGGGAGACTGTGAATACTAATCGAACTCTCCGGTATTAAGTTAAATAAGAAGAAGGAATATAGAACGTGGGCAATTCTAATCTTAAATCGATCTCCCATCTTATCTACGTTGTCTGCCTTTTGGTTCAAGTATAAAAACATACCACAAGATCAATATTTCCCTTACCTTCTTTCCTTTGAGAAGGTAAAGACTAGGTAATTTTAAAGAATTGTTAATTTGATCGAATTCCCACAGCTGGGGTGGGGGGTTGATCAAGTGCAGGGAACACGCTACTAGTGCGTTTAGTAGAATAGCATGTACATAAGTGTACCCTTTTCTGGCCGGAAGCCGGTACGGACATGAGCACTGAATTTTACTTGGCGTGGCCAGTATTTCTCCTATCGAAAATTTCTTACTTTCAATATCTATTAACCGATAAATCAATAGGGTAAGTTGAGCTCAACCCTATTATTCCTCTTAAATATTAAGAAACTGGTAACGATCTCTAGAAATGAAAAGTAGCTCCTTAAACCAAGCTTCTAAATTTGCCAAGACTTGGCTTCTTCCTTCAACAGATATGAACACGTTATAAAGGAAGTGTAACCCTAAACTCAATCACCACCTCTCTGCACCTATGATGGTGGGATTCCATACGGCCACTGGTAGTATAATCGATTTAGTTTCGGACAATACCAAAGCCAGGTTAAGGCTCCCATCGAATGGCAACTTACTATGAAAGATCACTAAAACGGAAGACGATCGATCGTCATACTCCGATAATGAGTAGACACCTAATTTACATACTCGTCCCCTAGGTTAGTAGCTTAGATACGAACCTGGCTTATTAATCAAATGGGAATAATAGTAACCACGATTGATCAAAGCCAGTGATCAGTAATGCGTATTACATTTGATAGATGATTAAGGTACTACTTATGTCCCCACCATAAACTACCTACTGTTTAATATAAGGAATTCAACAGCTGACACGCATTTATATCACCCTAAACCAGAGCAAATGTTTGGGCATAAATCCAATCAGCACTTATAGCAGCTTCTAAAGCTAAGCTCTTCAGGCCCTAGACCAAAAAATAGCCCAAATTAGCTGCACTAAAAGGAAAATAAGGGCATACTAACACCTATCAACAGTGTACAATTTCTTCCTTCATCATAATACCGAAATAAATCGGAGGTAAAATTATATATCGGTGGTGGGTGGGAGGGGGAAGGCGGGTTGAGGAACAGGGTGGATTGGACTCTAAGAAAAATAGTAGTGGAGAGATGAGATAGGGACACACATGGAGGGAAAAAAACTGAACATTGGCTATAATTTTGCAAATGGGCGATGGGGGGAGCCCGTGATATTGTGATGCTGGGAGACAAGTTCGTGCAAAACGCTATTTTACCAGAAATAATTATACAGGAGAAAAAAAAACAGACAGTGGACAGTGTGAACAAAAATAATCCAGCTGGATGATACGAATGCCTTTACCCGTGAGAATGTTATATACAAGAGGTGGAGAATAAAAGAATGTGTTAAAGAGACTTGAGAGGGAATATGGAAAAAGACCCACGATAGGTACCGAGACATCTGTTGCTTATTTGGTTGAAGGAGGGGGAGGAGGAGGCGGAGGAGGGGGTTGAAAGAAAGATGCTGGTTGTGCTTGTGGCTGGGCTGCTGAATTGCTATTATTAGTGGTAGTTGCAACGACGATACCGGTATTTTGGGCAGCAGTAACAGCTGTGGTATTGCTGGCGGTAATATTAGAGGCCCCAATATGGGCAGGGCGCATATTGACAGTAATTACTCCGTGAGCTGATTGAGCGAGAGCACCTGGTGTCACAGCACCAACAAAGGCTGCAGGAGCAGGGCTCAACTGTAAAAAGGAAAAAAAACAAATATCCGGTAAGAAAACAAGTTATGAGGCCTAACTGGTCCCTTCTACAAACTATATGAATTTTGAGACAATTACTTCAGTTTCAATAAGAATATATATTTGGCTGTGAATAAAGAGTAAAGATACCTTCAAGTGTCAAAACTGGTAGAAAAATTTGCATGTTAAAAGTGCAAAAGCATAAAAAGTACCACATAGAGAAAAGCACAAAGGGACTACTTTAACACACACACACACACACACATTTATATACGATAAATTCTAGATGCTATTTCCACGCATATCTGCGAATGGAACTTACACGAGGCTAAATTTGTATCCTAGAGTGAAATACATTCAAGTTACCGGGCTCATTAAAGAATTGCATTTCAAGATATTTTCAAAATTGACAGAAAACACAGCCGGCTCATCGTGTCAATTCTATGCCACAATAAGCAAAAGGAGGCGCGAGATAGAGAGGTACAAGAGTAATGCACAAACTACAGTTTTTTCCTAGTTTTACCTGCTGGCGAAACAAATCATACTGGTACAGTTGATTGAAAATGTTGCTCAGCTGACTGCCAAGTATAAAAGAGAGCAAAACGCAAATATTTTGCATATACCAGAGCAAGCATGTAGGCCACCAAGTTAAACGCATAATGTCATGGAGAGCCATCATATGAAGGTAACATGAAGGATATACAAAAAGTACACAGACACATGTTTCAGAGAGATATAAAGATCATACATTACCACCGGCTCATACTATCGTATAGGGCAACTTATATTGAATGACTGAAGGATAAAAGGCCATACTTGATTCCTTAAAAGGATGCCAGAAGTAACCTTTGTATGGCACAACTGACACACACACCCACACACAAATATGAAAAATCATTTTACAGTAAATATAAAACAGATACACATTTCCACTGCGATTACTACTTTCGAATGAAAGCAATTAGTTTGGTGCCCTGTTTCGGAATAGAAAACAATTGATTACGGGAGTGAAATTTTACAAATGAGAATAGATGAGTGTTACAAACGAGGAATATCAAAATCGAACATCGAACGATGAAATAATAAATAAGGGCAGGAAAATAGCACAAATATAAAACTCCAAATAGGTTTCTGTCTGTGGACGAAACAGTACACTGAGGGCCTGGTCGAAAGTACACTAAAATTGAATCCTAAAGAGAAAGCAAAAGTGTCCCCTATGTGACAAATTAAGGCTATTAATTTTTGACGGGGAATAAACGTAAATTGTAGACAAGCTTGAAGGGAAGTGTTAGAAGAATTCAAAAAGATATATGATACTACTGATTCTTGCATGTTAATGGTGTTTGGATTACTGAAACAGTTAATAAAAGTACCACTACATAGCAACTAGAGAAAGAAAAAACGGATACATGAACGAGAGCCAAGTTATTCCCAATGTAAGTAGACGAAGAATGCATAAAGGTTCCTATCGATTTTTGCTTGCGAATGAGACAGACTATTTTGCCACCCTGATTCAGAGAAGTTCGCATGGAAGGTGCTATTGATTTATGCGTAGATTAATGGTCAAACATTTAGATGGGATATATCTAAACGACCATAACAAAGGAAATATGCAAAAAAAGAAGTCATGAAAACAATACAAATCTAAAATGGTAGATAGGCTTCTATCAAGAGTTACCTATGGATGATACGCTGCACACTAATGTTCCGGTTGATAAAATACCGCACTTGAGGCCCACAGACAGAAGATTGAAACGTGCTTTATGCACCCAAAATAGCAGTTAATCACTTTCAACGAAAATGGAATTCTACTTCGATTGTTACGATCGAGATACCAATTACCCTGAAACTCTGATCCAACTGCTGAAAAAGCAATTCAGTCTTACTATTAAATTAAAAAAACTGGCAGCTCAGCTTAGCATAACAAAATCAAAAATAAGCATTTAAAACAAATGCGTAGAGAGAAGGGAAACCTGAGACTATATTCATAAAATAGCCAAGACCTGACTGCTAAAAAACAAAGGGAGTAAAAGGGCAGGCCAATATCTCTCGACTAAATCTCTTTTAAGTACTAATTTCACATTAAGCCATTCAGCATCTACTCCTCAAAACGAAAATACGCGCATTATAATTTATTGAAAGGAGGCCCCGTGCGTAATACTAGAACATAAATGAACGCTGCAATACTTGCAAGCGAATGGGACCAATTACTTTGATGTCTTGATTCAGAATAGACAACTGATAGCTTTATTGGTGCGGTAAACTCGTGGAATGGCAAAATAGAGCAAAAACTGCTAGGTAGGTGTATGAGTAGCAATCAGACGCAAGGGCCGCACTTCAAAATAGACATAAATATGAATCTATGCTTCTAATAGCTCTCTCTTATCCACAAAGAGGATGGAGCATATATGTGCCATAATTGGGAATATTTTGCAATTGAATGCAAAAATAGAGAAAAAAAGTGCATAAGGATAACCTATGACTCCAATTCAATCTTCATTAATGTGGTCAAAATAATGTATAAGAAAGCATTAGGCTTTTGGCAAGAAAGAAACAACAAAGTTGGCAGAAGTCTGGCATGAGATACGTGAAAATGAAATCAAACCTGATATAAGACGGAGTAACAGTTGTAGAGGTGCAGAAGTTTAGTAGGAAAATACTTCCACAAACAGAAGAGAGGTATTAGAGCATTTTTGTTAAGATTAAGACCAGCACTATGTCAGGCATAAAGACTAACGGTGAAAAGCATCTAAATAAGATGTAAAGACAAGCTGCACAAAGGGCTAGAACACTTACACCAGCCCATAAAGGTGAATAAGTCCAATTATATCGACTCATTAATTGATAACCAACCATATTTGAATGGTAGTGAGAGAGAGAGAGAGAGAATTGAAAATAAACCACTCTAAGCGCACACAAAACCACTTTAGATACGAATAGCTTGAGTCTAACAGAAGGGTTGCATATGGGCCTAGAGTGGCTACTTACAAAGATCATAAGAGGGAATGAAGTTCAAATAAATTGTTGTGCACACACTGACAATAAACAGCATGAGACCGCTAAAGGAGAGAGGAGAGGGAATAAACATACTGAATGTATCTGTTTGAAAAGAATTAAAAATATGAATCCGACAAGGGGATTTTTGGATTTAATAGATATTGCATTTAAAAAAACAAAAAGGAATGAAAGGTTTCGTTTTAAATTGAGTTTGAAAACAATTAATCTGCTCTTCTGATTGTGATAGTGAATAAAAACCTGTTTTCACCGAATCGAAACCTACCAGAGTACATCAAGCATTATTAGTGAATACTGATAAAATTAAGGAAAGAGGAATAAGTTTTTTTTTTCACCTGCAACCCAAGGAAATATTTCCGCTGTTCAAGAAGAATATTGGGTAACATTTTTCTCCAATAGGTTTGAGAACAATTAAAAACGTAGACCTCAATTCGAATCTTAAAGGGGAACTTAGGATAAACAAACTGATCTAGCCCGGACTTAACTATGAATGAAATCACCCCTACAACCATGTTCTCCTTAGGCCATGCAAACGCCACTTTTAATACTACTGTTTTGAATAAGCCTTAGCCTCGAAATGTGGTCGTGTAAATGCTCGCTTGGTCTTATGAAATTTAATTTAATTCAATCCCAAACTAGTCTCCCCTTCGAAATGACGGTGAGAGGACCTAATATTAACCTATATTGTAAATAAATGCAGATTGGACGTCACAGATCCTTAAAAATTATTCGAAAATAGGCTAATTAGACATTTTTTACAGATACGCACAACACAAAGCACCGAACAACCGTACCGGAAATCGTTACACAATGACAAGAATATAAAGGTTGAAAAAACAATATGTAACTTTAGTTCGGTAAACCTATGCTTTTCGAGATACACAACACCTCTCGCCATTAAACAAGTTAACACGTTTCTTTTATTGTGAGATTATGAGGAAATAATTAAAATTCAATCCCCATGACAAATTAGACCACAAGTAGCACAATGGTTAACGCACTCGACTACCAATTTAGAGGTCATTAATTAGAAGTGCACAGATGTGAAATTTGTAAGCGGAATAGCTAACCAAAGAGACGATATAATATTGGAGATCAAGAAATATGTTTCAATAAAAGAGATCCGAAAGCTAAATGAAGCAAAATAAACATACTATTTTGGCAGGTGTATGCATCTGCCCACGCAGCACTATTTTGCCGCAAATTCAACGCGTTTTAAAAGGGAAAATAGAATCCGTAAAAAAATTATGCCACAAATCTGTAGAAAAGACAGTTTTATAAGCAAATACACGCAAAGCTCACTTGGATAGAACTTGTAAGGGAGGCCTACAAATTAGTTGATATATATATATATATAACAAGGTAAAGCGAAGTTCAAACTCACTTGGTGCTGGACTTGAGTGGGGTGCTGAGGCTGAATCGGCGCTGGTGTTGGAAATCGTTGCAAATTAGTACCACCAGCACCATTATTCACATTGGCAGGCAAAATCTCCCGATACATTCCTGGAGCAGGTTGCTGATGCTGAGGTACTACTTGTTGATGGGTCGTTACTTCCCGACTCACAGGTAGAATTAGTGGAGGCCGGTTGTTAGTAACAACAGGCTGCTGCTGTTGCTGAGAAGGAAGACTCGAACCTGAAGATCTCCGTAGGATTTGTTGCTGTTGCGAAGCTACCACAGATTGCTGTGGCTGAGATTGCTGAGTGGCGACAGTAACAGTAGTAGCAGTCTGGATAGAATTCTGAGGCGTCTGTCGAGGTTGAATGGGGATGGGAGTTCTACAGAGAATGGCGTGAGATTTATTCAGCCCAGGAATGAGAAGGAATTGCTGCTGAGTAACAGTGGCACGGGGATTAATGGATTGAAGTAATGCTAATGTCTCTGTGAGATTATTTCGATCTACAAAGTACGCTCTAGTCGTAGTTGCTGGCGCTAACAACCCACCTGTTGTTGTTTGAGAAGCCAATTGTTGTGACTGAGGCGGGTGTAGAGATGGGGGAATTTGAGGATTTTGTGGGGTGATCGATAGCTGACGAGTTGTTTCCTGAGATGAAGTGCGTTCAGCAGAAACGACTTGTTGTTCTGAGGCGACATCTGGGAGAGTAGTGCTGGTAGTGTTATTATCATCATTACTACTCGCAGAAGAGCCAGAACACGACGGTGTGACAACTATTTTGGCTTCAATATAATTAGACAAGATAGAGGGAACTGGGATAGCACCTATAGTACCGCTACTGCCACCACCGTTAACTCCATGCTGAGGGGTAGCAGGTGCGGAAACACTATTTCCAGAGGGTTGAATCAGCACAGAAGGACTAATCACACGAGGGGTAACGTTATTTGATGATGACGTCTGATTTTCACCGGGAGGTCTGATATTAATGGGATTCGGTTGGTTGGGGACTAAATGTTCGGCTGGCTGACTTGTTTGCGACTGCTTTTGCTGTTGCTGTTGCAATTTTCGTTTAATGAAATTCTTTTTCACATCAGCCAGTATCTTAGTTCTATGCTGGGCTTGCGACAGACTGCTACTACTATCAACTACCAGGGGTTGACGACTGCTTGAAGTAGAAGATGAAGGCAAAGAATCACTTGAGAAACTGGTTTGCTGCAGAATTCTTCCCGTACTTACTGGTGTCCCCACCGATTTCCTTCGATAGTCTTGGGGAAGATGAACCGGCTGAAATGGAAACGATGAGTATAATAGAAAGCTCACAACTTTACAACGATAAAGTGTAAGTATATCTAGTGACGAACAAAGTTTCACGACTAATTGAAAATAAATAAATTTGTAGCTTTCTAGCACCTCCCATTTATGATTAAATTTCTTTTGGCCTACTCATCCTATTCAAATACTACTACTGCATATGTTAACGTGTTGGTAATGTAGTATGTTTAATGTGCTGAGCTGCTTTACCCGGGCATATCATTACTTTCAAAGGACTTGAGAACCCAGGAAGTAACCGAAAGTACCATTTAGTAATTATGAGAAAAACTTCAGCAACGGTAAAAGGCGAAATTATTCCCATCCCCAAAGATTGATACATTGAGTTTAGAACTGATAAAAGATGTTACACAGAAGTTATTCAGTTCGATCATTGCAAACGATTAAATAAGCTTAAAAGAATGCAATCTCATAAAACTAAACACGGTAGGGAGAATGGGGGGGGGGGGTTGAGTATCAAAGATGTTTGGCCATGGCAACCATTTACACACTCAAAGGTTTGATTACTGATTTTGGCTGCTGACATCAAACAAAAAGACCTGATTGTCTCATAACGCTCGCGCAAGCCCATCTAGCCAACAGGATCAATCGAGTATTCTCTAAAAAGCAGCAGGAGAGCAAAAGAGTGTAACTGTGCACGTTGTTCCCATTTGACATTTTTATGATTGAATGAAGTGCAATGCGAACAATATGAAAGCTGAACGGCATTTATACTTGACATTGCATAAAGCGAGTAGACCCTAGCAGTAATTGTATAAAGCATAGCCTAAGATGAATGCCAGCATAGGGGTCAATCTATATTTAAAAAATTTAGATGTAAAATCTTAAAATGCTGCCTCAAGAAACGAGCACTTCATAAGAAACACTTAGTTAAATAACGAGAAATGAATAGATTTCAATGTACACATAGTTTGCGTTAACTGGAGGCCAAAAAATTGCTTGCTTTTTTGGTTCCTTGTTCAACATCTTGATAAGTATATGAAATGCACTGCGATAAAAATATAATAATACCTAGGAGTAGGAATAAATCGGATATATTAAAGGAGGAAATCATAAATATATCTCAAATAGTTGTGAAGGAGGTAAAAGGGGTAAAGTTATTAGTAGTTTAATTAACAGATTAGGGTCAACATCAAAAATGCATAAAAATTGAATAACGCTAATACAAGACGCACATTTTGCAGCAAGAGAGTAGATTCCAACTTGGGCATATTGAGCCTGCGTTGAGTGGACTGAACTGTAGCAGACTCTGAGGAAGTCTGATGTAAAGCTGCAGTCCGCTGTACTTCTACTCTTTCTTCACTCGTTTTAAAGGAATTTGTCATGCTAGTCACCGACGATTGTATTGTAGTTGATAGAGGAATAGAAGAAGGGCTATCGGAGGAGGTAGAATTAGCCGAGGAATTCACAGGAACGGACTGCATTGACACATCTTCCGGGTCCATCTTTGGCCCTGTGGTAAGCTTTATTGTGTCTATAGTTTCCTTAGAATTTCTTTCTTCCGTGTTCTCCCTTGATTCTCCTTTAGTGAGGGCTGTTTGAAGAGCTGAAGATCGGTTGCGAAACCCGCTACCATTTAAATTGTCAACTAAACGATTAGTTTTAACTACAGCATCCGTTGAAAGCTAAAATAAGAAGTAGGTACGATTAAGCAAGGCAAGAAAAGCAACCCAATGCTCACCAAAACGGGTAACTAAACGAAGGTATCAGTTACTATTTCAACTTAATATTTAAATTAGAAAATAGAAAGCTTACTTTTGTTGATAACGGTGAATGGTTACTGGGGTTTTCTTTGGTGGAGGAGGGAGACTGGGAGGTTGATGTAGGCTGAGGAGAAGAAATAGAGCTGGAATAGCGTTGACGATTACCAACAGACTTTCGAAGACCCTGTCGAGAATTCAGGCGAGGAAAAAAATCGCCATTCATTTGGCGAGTTGAGTAATCCTGAAGAGCTTTGCTAAAGAACTCATTACGAAGAGCAGTTGGATGGATCCATAAGTCAGATTCACCTGAAGGAATTGAGGCATCTGCTGGGGGCTGCTGGTCGTGAATTGGGAGCAATTTAAGCAGTCTTTTCCGAGATTCAATAGGCAAGGATTCGAAGGTTTTGATGTTAATAATTTCCTATATGAAACGTAAACAAATAACTTGAAATATGTATGCAAGCACTATTGAAGACATTCAGAGGCGATCCTTACACTTAAATTGACTTTGGTAAGTACGGAATTCGGCAACTCTAAATCAAAATCATCTAAGTTGCCAACATACTTTCGCTTTCGACTAGTTCGAATTTGCTCTTGAGAAGTCTTAACCTAAAAGATTAATATTATGATTAAATTCAATCACATACAGGTACGTCGTCCTGGATTTGTTCGATTGAAAGAGAAATATCCGATTCATGAGTAGTGATGGTTTGATCAACTTGATTCGCCTCGTTATGATTCTGTTGCGTTAAATCCGTCATAAGACTATCAGTTCCCAAATCACTATTATTATCCAAAGAAGAAGACGGACGTAAGTAAATGCGTATTTTGGGTACATATGGAGAATCCTGCGCAGACTTCGCAGGAATTATCAACTTAGAGGAAGAGTGCATTCGTTAAATTAGAGCCTTATGGTTAAGTTAATAAGCTCATATAACTCATACAAAACTCCTTAACTTAAAATTACACAAAACACAATTACGGGAAGACAAGAGAAATTACAATAATGGGAGAACTTTCAAGCCGCCCACATCGACGGTATCACTTACATAATAAAACAATAATGGAAAACAAATTTGCAAGGGCCAATTGGCTCATTCATATAGCGTAGATAAAATTAATATTTTACTGAGCCAACGTGGTCTGATAGCAATTCTTAATACTTAAAATGAAAAATTAATATGTAGGATCTAATGAAGTTGGTGGTAATGGTCTCGTCAATATTGTAGGAATAATTAATGAAACAATGAAAATTTAATCTTTGAATCTTTAATCCACTTAATAGGTTTCAAATGCCTTCACATGCATTAAATGTAACCACATTTTATTAAACAATACAATACAATTTTTAAAATATGCTTATGTTTTATAGAAATTGACTGCTTTCGTTTTCTGCTAATTATAACACCATACCTTAGGGGCATAAATATCCGTAACATTAGTTTGGTATTTAATGGGTTAATCTGTTTAACGCCAATAACTCTAAGATCATAAAATTTAATTTCGCCTTACTGAAAATAACCTATTGGAAATATAAACCAGCTCTGTCTCTCAATTTATCACTTATATAGCAGTTATGTCAAAAAACATTCCGTAAACGGACGTTATAGTTAAAAAACAATACTATTAAGAAAATAAGATCTATTTGTGAAGAAAGGACTTTGCTCGTTAGTGCTAAAAGTTACTGATTTGAAGTTGGCATACTTAAATAAGGATTTCTTGTGACTAAATTCCATTTAGTTAGGTGATTATAAAGATACAGAAATAGATACTTATAAGAACGCGACTTTTGAAATTCGACAAAATTTAAAATATTATCAGAAACATATCTGCGAAATGGAATTTCAAATTTCTGAAATTCTATCAGCTAATGAAACTCGGATTTTTAAGTTTTGTTTGTCTGGTAGCACTCATAAGCTCATTTTGTAAACCTCTACCCATTATTTATTTTGTGTTGGGAATGGCATCATGAAATTTCATTAGTACTTGACCAGAATTCTGATTCTCCCATCATTTAGTCAGACTTAACCCTCGTGACAGACTTCTGTCCTTAGTAATCGTAACCAATGAGATATAACTGCACTTTTAGACATTGATAACAAAGCTATTTATTAATTTTCGCTTTTCGTCTGAGGATTCTATGAACAATCTGGGAAATTTTCATTTATAAATGGTCCTATTCAAATTTCCCTAATTGGCTGTTGAGCATTTCAAGCTTCCAGAACTCGGTGTAAATGATGTAACTCAGGAAATTTAAAGAAATTTTCAGCCATTCTTACGATAAAATCTATCCCTGCTTATATTCTGTTAACCTAAGTTACCCAAAACAAAATGGTTTAAACGAAGTTGTGATCTAAAAATGGCATAACTGATCCAAAAATGTCAATTCTAAAAAACCCTTGCATTAATAAATTTCTAAATCTTATTTAACTTTGGGTCATTTTAGCGCGATTCGTTGAAAATTTTCCTTAAACATTTAAGATAGTAGGCTATTAGGTATATGTGATTTTAAGCAATGAAAGGAAACAAGCCTTAAAATTTATGTATAATTGAGATTTGTTGAAAACAGAACAAATCCGAATATCATATATCTTAAAAATATATTTAAATTTCTCTATCCAGGTATTAAATTAAATAAAACATAATCTCTCAGCTAATCGAAGAAAAATAGTAAAATATACTCAGTAATCATTTAGGAGAAAACCAATCTATGATTTTCATTACGATGACACACTACAATGCGAATACGTAAAACAGGGGGCAACTTTTATACAACACGACCATTTTTGTTTAGTTGCTTACAATAATATTTATAATGCACTGTCTAATAATTTTCAGGAGTAGTGTTTTAATTTTCACTTACCAACATATTTTTGGAAAATACCGTGTAAATAAAAGCAGCTGACATCTTGCCATATAGAAGAAACATGAATTCCCACCTTTTTATAATGCAATCTCATGAGAAATTAAATCAAAATACTAGGTAAAAGATTGGGAACCACATATTGCAAAAAATGATATACGAACACGGTTTTATTATGCGTTTTTGGAGTAATTATTCGACAAAAATATAAATCAAATTATTTTTCAAAGGGCATAAATTTTCAGCACTTAAAATGGGTGTTGAAGATTTTGAAGAAAGTGTTCTTTGAGGTATGGTTGTCTTGATAACATTAAAGAAAAAATATGCTTCTCATATAAACTAACATTCTTAAACCAAATGAACATACTTTATTTCAATTCAATAACGAATACAGGAATAAATTATTTTGTTTGAGATAAAAAAATATTTTGCGTTGAATAATTTTAGTTTGAATGATATTTTATTCCTGTTTTATCTAACACACATTCGCAAATTATGTATACTTCATCCAATTGGATAAAGACCTTTTCTGTGGTAATTTTGTGCCTCGTTTCACTTGTCAAATTTTTTCGCCAGTAGTCACGCGGCAATGGTTGAATCATCTAAATTAGCTGCACAGGATCTTTCGAAATTGGTATTGCGCGTTAATACTTGATGTTATTTCTTAGGATCTGACAAAATTAACTGCTATTACACCGGAAGTCATTAGCAGACAGGCCACAATCAATATTGGTACTATTGGTCATGTGGCCCATGGTAAAACTACCGTTGTCAGAGCAATTTCAACTGTGCACACTATCCGACATAAAAACGAACTCATTAGAAACATTACTATTAAATTAGGTTATGCTAACGCGAAAATTTATAAATGCGATAGCCCCGATTGCAAACCCCCAGGGTGCTATAAATCTGCGGGTAGTAGCAGTCCCGATGTAATGCCATGTGGACGCGTGGGATGCTCCGGAAATTTGCGATTAGTAAGGTATGTTTGATCTTTTTCAATTCTTAATTCAACAGAATATGAATAGTACAGTTGACTATAAGTACTTAATTGATTTTAGCTGTGGTTGATATGGTCTGCAAGTGCTGGCGATTTCTTTGTTACATTGCCTAGATCAAATTGGATTCAATTTATTAGCTCTCATTTTACTTATTTTTCTCATATTCTGCAATTCGAGGACTTGTGCGAAAATTCGCTTACTTGATTTCCCCTGACACATTTTCGACTTTTTGAATAGGTCCCAGTTGTTTCCCACCCTATTTAGATCCCATTCATTTTGTTCTTATTAATATACAGTGCCTTGAAAAGAGCTAGGTAGGTGATTCTAAATTAAATATAGGTTGCCTCTGGATAATTCACTGTCCAGGCTCCTCACCAAGGCGTTAATTGGCTCATCTAAGATCCCATTCACGATATAAGATTGATAAGTCAGCTAAAGTGTTTTACGGTCTAATTCACTCAATGGTATTTCATTTTATCCCCATCTAGGCACATATCCTTTGTTGACTGCCCTGGCCATGATATCCTTATGGCCACTATGTTAAACGGCGCTGCAGTTATGGATGCTGCAATCCTTCTAATCGCTAGCAATGAGCCTTGTCCACAGCCCCAAACCAGTGAACACTTAGCTGCGGTGGAAATTATGCACCTCGATACAATCATAATTCTACAGAACAAAATCGATTTGGTTCGCGAAGAGGCTGCTCGAGAACAATACCAACAGGTGTGTCCATTCTCTTTGCCTCTTTATCGATTACTCGGTAAAGGCTCTGTTTTTACCCTGATTGTTCTTGGATATTTCAGATTAATGAGTTCATCAATGGCACAGTTGCACGAAATGCTCCGATCATCCCAATTTCTGCTCAACTGAAGTACAACATTGATGTTGTTTGCGACTACATTGTCAATACCATCCCTCTTCCTCTTCGTGATTTTACTTCCGATCCTAGACTTATAGGTTAGTGCTCTTACTCTATAAATTTATGCCTAATTGCGTAATATTTTATTATTCTTTTATTTCACAGTATTTTTTGCAGAATCGTAGTCACTGAAATCACGAGTGTTAGGTTATAAGCGCAAAGGCCTTTGGTTATCTTGGTAGATTTTAAAATTTTGGCCTCTCTTCTTTTTTTTCACTGTAACAAGGGATAACCAACGGGTCAGTGTGTTCGGAGTATTGAAGACGTAATTACATTCGTGAATCTTGGAGTCAGTGGATAGAATTTGAATATTAAGATGGTAAATGGTGAATTATGCTCACTAGGTGAACATGAGCAACGCATTGCTTCATGACTCCATGTCGTTACTCCATTACTTCCTATTCCTATCCCCGGTTTCAAAACTTGTTTAGTTTGATTGCGGTTTCTCTTATTAAAGATGCTTTTCTGTGCTTAAAACTCAAACACGTTTTTTTGCACTCATGGGCTATAAGAGCTATGGAAATATCAATAATATCTTTCCTACTTTAGTCATTCGATCTTTCGATGTGAACAAGCCCGGATGTGAGGTCGATCAACTTCGTGGTGGCGTAGCGGGCGGTAGTGTTCTTCGTGGTGTCCTTAAGGTACGTTGAGCATGTCAATTTTACCTCTTTACGGAAATCTATTTTACTTTGCTCATTAAGGCTAATATTGATTTCGAATTTCTTTGACCAAATCTAATACCTAATTTCTCTAGGCTTGAATATTTTAATTTAAATAATTTCTCTTTGATTCATTGGTTTGCATCACCGGTAAATTGCTTGATTTGTATATTGTGTTTCAGTCGTAGATGTGGAAAGATTGAATTCGCTGGTTATTTTAATAATTTTTTATTCACCCCTCATAAATTTTTCCATATTAATCAAATTGTCATGTGTTAATAAATTAATGGGGCTTTTGCGCATGAGGTCAATTAATGCTTTTTGTCGCATAATCAAGACCCAAATAGCCCATTGTGATTAACTTCTGGCGAATTCGCTAAATCAAAAAATATCTATGAGCATTGGATAATGTAAAATAGCTTTATCGGCGTTAAGTAATGGTAATAAAAACGTTGAGAAAGTGATTTATTGTTCTACAGAATGCACTATTTCATTTCATTTATGTGATTATGAGAGTTCACAGATTCTATACTTTTCATCTAGGCTCATTGATGCAGTGACCAAGCGAACTGGTTAAAAATGATCAATTGTGAGCTGTAAAATTTGACTTTCGTGTTGATATGTTTCTTCTCTGGTCATCTGGCACGAGAAGTAACTAGGATTAACGACAGAATTCAATTTTTCTCGGTCACCTCTGGTCACTGTAAGACCATATCCATATGCTATGCTCATGATTCCGGAAGTTCATGTGTAATGGTGACCGAAGGGCTTTGAGCTCATGTACCCTCGGTTTGCTTTAAGACTGTATCAGTTTCTGAAATGTCAGTAATAACTTGCTTGGTGCGCATTGTTGGTGTGTGTATATCTGTGCGGCTTCAACGAGTTGGTGCCACACTGGCGAGTGCTAATGCGAGAGGGCTGGGTGGAATGCGAAGTTCTCAGTATCGAGTTTAGCTTATTTCCCTAAATGAGAAGTTCTACATTTCAAAAATTTTTGGAATAACGTCACCTAGAATTCGTTGACTCAACGCAAAATCCTTATTCGGTTCTCCAGTCTACTGTTCACCTTGAGAACTTAAAGGAATTTTGCTTTGCGTTGTTATTCGAGGAGCACAGCTTGGTTGTTTTCTCTGATGACTTGAGTCAACTGACTCATAATTTATTTTTACGCTTGCTTTCGATTATTATATAGGTTGGTCAAGAAATCGAGATCCGGCCTGGCCTGGTCACCCAGAAGGATCGCTCAGGCACAGTCTCCTGTCGCCCTATCCGTTCATGCATCCTTTCACTTTTGGCGGAACAAAATGACCTCGCATATGCTGTCCCCGGTGGTTTGATTGGTGTGGGCACTAAGATCGATCCACAGCTCTGTCGTGCTGATCGTTTGGTGGGCCATGTCCTCGGTGCTGTTGGTACTCTGCCCGACATCTTTGTCGAGATTGAAATTTCTTTTTACCTCTTCCGACGTCTACTTGGTGTGAGGACTGAGGGTGATAAGAAGGGAGCTAAGGTAAGACCAAACGCATTTCTTCGTTACTCCTTCAATGCCCAATTAGAAGTCACGAGATCGAAACTTATTGGCTCAAATCTCATGATCAAAATGACTAAAGGCGTACTTAGACCTAATCAGCTGAAGAGTCGTCATTAAGCGCAATGAAAATGCGTCTTTGACAGGCTTGACATTTAAGGCATTGTTGGTTTGAATCCCACTGTTAAAGTTTCTTATGAATATTGAGGTACAGGCCTATAAGGATATTTCAAGTGCTCTCCTCTCATTGCCATGAGCAAAATACCATGCATTCGGCAATACAGAAATAAAGAATGCGAATTTCTCTTCTTTCAGAACTCCTTATAGCTGCTCTTTTAGTTCCAAAGTGAGTTTGGGCTTAGAGTTGTAAATGTAAGCTCTTACCAACGCCTATTTATGAAGATTATTTCTAAGTCTTAATTTGATCGAATTTGCATTATCCTTTTTTAGTTAATTATTGATTTGTAGGTTTTACTACAACTTGGCTTATTTCATTCAATACTTGGTTAAATTGGAACCAATGTAAATCAATGTTGCTATTGCCCTAACAATGGTTTACCACTTGGCAAACTTTGAAATAATGGATTTTAGCTGTAGTTTGTCTGTCCTAAGTATTGTTTAGCATTAACATCATGTAGTAAATGGAATCGCCCTAGTTGCAAGGTACGGGCAGGCTTTATTTACAATAATCCAACATTACTGTCTACATTTAAGTATAATCGCATAAGGCAAGTGTTCTAGTGCTAGTGATACATCACGTATATTTGCTTGAATTTACTTTTAATAAATTTGCCACGCTATGAGAACTGACTCTCTCACCTCTTTGTTTTTAGGTCCAAAAGTTGGCTAAACGTGAGATGTTGATGGTTAATATTGGCTCGTTGTCAAGTGGTGGTCATGTTGTAGCTGTGAAAGGTGATTTGGCAAAGATCTCCCTCAATACCCCCGTCTGCACTGAAGTGGGCGAGAAGGTGGCGCTTAGCCGTCGTGTTGAAAAGCATTGGAGGCATGTTCTTCTCATTTACGAATTATAATTAGTTATTTTTGTTTCCAAAATTGTAAACTAATTAGCTTTGCTGTTCATTTTAGATTGATTGGCTGGGGCAAGATTCGTCGTGGAGTCAAGCTTACTCCCCAGGAATAGATGGGGCTCTTTCGCTTGTAAGAAAAAGCAGAGAGCACAAACATGGTGTCACTAAAAGCAAATCAGTGTTTTCTTCAACTGCTACCAACGATTTCCACCACCACTTGTCTTGATTGGATTTGTTGGATAAAAGTATTACAAAAAGATGGGTTTATTTTTATTTATAATTTGTAGATGGTTAGTGTCAAGCTTTTTTTGAAATAGTGGATATTCTATAGTTAGCCAGATAGAATAATGCTCGTTTCCGATTTTTAATAACTCGTGCAATGAATGCATGGATTAAAAAGAAGCTTTAAAATGCTGTCATATGTCGTTTACCGTTACACTCTTTTGCGTTGCCTATAATATGAGTCATTATATATTTAGTGATAGCCAGAGAGAAAGATTACACAAGGTCACGAATAATGCGAATAAGCAATGGTATTGTCTTTCTCCTAATATGGTAACTTCTCACCTTAGGGAATTCGAGCAAAGTTGGAAAGGTACGAATTTGCCGAACGCTTGTAATAAGGAAAGAAGTTCTTTTACTCTACTGACGAGATCACTATTTTTGCTTTGCAACTGTCGTCAGGCACCTCCAGTCCCAAATTGCCAATTCCTTTGAGTCATTTTTATTTATTTCAAATGACAGGCGTTGTGATAATTATAATTAACTCTTTAGCTGACTTCGGGGTTCACAGAGGGGATGAAACATAAAAGTGGGGAAAATTCGGGAAGAGGGACAGAAGAGTGATTCACGGATGTAGAGGAGACAGACAGACAGACACAAAGGTAGAGAAAAGGTAAGATGAGTAATGTGGAGTGGTGTAATGTGGCACAGTGTCGGGTCATAGTAATTGAAATTCAGAAGTCAACTACCGATTAATAGACTGTTGTATGGGCATACGTTGAGTCAATCGCACAACCCCCCCCCCCCCTTTAAGTCATAAAATGCCACAAGTCAGAATATCGTTTACAAGTTTGGTATCTTAGCTCAATAAGGGTTAATAGTGATTTTGAGGGTGCAGCAGAGAAGTTGGAAACGCAATTATTTCGAGTTGAGTAGTGAAGAGGTAAAAAATCTTGCAAGACCTTAACCAGATCTCCCTAGACTTCAAATTTTATCCTTTATAGTTACTCATCTTCCCTGCTAAGTACAACACGAACTATTTTTGTGAATAAATGAATGGAGATGGTTATAAGTTTATTTATATCAAATGGCAGGCATTTTGATAGTTATCATAAGCCCTTTAGTTGACTTCAGGCTTTACAGAGAAGAAGGAACATCAAAGTGAAAAAAGTCGAGAGGGGAGGGGGGGGGAACAGAAGAGTATTTCAAAGATGTAAAGGAGACAGACACAAAGGTAGAGTGAAAAAGGTGAGGTGAGTACTGTGGAAGTAGCCGAATATGACATACAGTGAGGTGATGGTGTTTTGAAGTCGGAAGTCAACTGCCGAATAATAGACTTTTTTGCCGTATGAATATACGTTGCCCAGGGTGCACCACTTGGAGGTACATGATACTATTGTGGTTTAAGCTATGCTTGGAGCCTACGATAATAAGTCTATAATTTCCTTGCCGTACGAAAACTTAAGAAAGTATATTTATTTATTTATTCATTTCAAATGGCAGGCGTTTTGATAGTTATCATTAGCTTCTTAGCTGACTTAGGGCTTCACAGAGAGGAGGAGGAACATCAAAGTGACAAAAATTCGAGAGAGAGGGGGGGGGGACAGAAAAGTGATTCACAGAAGTAAGAGAAATTGACAGACAGAGGCAGAGAAAAGGTAAGATGAGTTCTGTGAAAGGGGTTGAATATGACAAGCAGTCGGGTCATAGTAGTTTAAAATCAGTA